CCGTTTACTGTGCGCTGTTTGCCTTTTCGTCAGTATCAACCAACTAACCCACATCGCCACCCTTACTCCGAAGGGCTGTTTGAGTGTTTCTACAACGGTATGTAAAGCGAATTGTTTGACAAAGAGAATCTCGGCAGCACGTTTCCCCGTCACGCGGGCGATCGCCAGGGGTTCCCTTACTCCCCACTCCTGTTTGTGCTCAACTTTGAACCTTCCTTTCGGGTACTTGAGGGAGCCTCGAATCTTCGTGGCCTACAGCTCCCAGGAGCGGGTCAGGTCAAGGCGACCGCGTACGCTGACGATGTGATACTCTTGGCGCGTGATAGCGACAGTGTGCTTGGGGTGCTTTAAGTTTTCGCGACCTACGCGGCTTTGTCCGGTGCAGAGCTAAACTCCACCACCTCCCAAATTGTATGCATTGGCGATCCCCCGGTGTGATCCCTTGAACCTCCCCGTTGGCGCAACTGTCAAAAGCTTGGGGAGTGATCTTTGATGGAGACGGCGTAGTACGCGAGACATGGTCCATGTTTGCGCGCGACCTAAACTCGCGCGTAGAAGAGGCCAGGATATATGCTTTCCTATGGCCGTACGGTGCTACTTGGCACAGCCAGTGTTTTTCAGTCGATTCTGGTATGCCACACGCGTGGCTTCACCACCCTCTTCGTTTGTGCGCCAGGCGCGCTATTCTTTCGTGTCCTTCTTTTGGGTAGGCAAGGCGGCTCTAGTGGCTCGCCCCGCGCTCAGCCTCCCTCTAGTGTGCGATGGCTGGAGCTTTCCTTTTGTCAAACTGACAGTAATAATAATAATAATAGCTTTATTTACCATGTATAAGCATGGTGGGGGCTTTACTTCGGTAATGTGTTCACCCTTGTCCTCAAGACCCTCTTGAATATTCTGGATGACGCGGATAACACGGCCCGTTCGATGGTGGTTTATTTTATGAGGACTTTATATATTTATTTGGTACACTCGCAGCCGCCCCCGTCGGCGCACGCGTGAAAATGGTTCGCCCTTTCTACAGAGCTGCTATTGAAACCTCCGCCAGCTCCGCGCCCATATATTTAAAGAAGACATTGCAGAGGCTCCGGCGTATCGTTTCGTTGAGATTTTCTAGTTTCAAGCGTGTTTCACATGCAGCGATTTTGGCCCTAGAGCGGCGCGATTTCTGCTGTCGCGGCGCTCGTGCCGCTCAACCGCTGGTGCTGGCCAGATCGCCGCGACGGCAGAGATCGCGCCGCCCTAGGGCCGAAACCGCTGCATGTGAAACACGCTTCAAGCGTCATTTGCCGGACTTGGGCTCTTGTACGCGGGAGCACACTTCCCCCAGGGTAGCTTGCCCGGAGAGATGTGTAACCTCCAGTGGAAGAAAGGTTGGGGTCTCTTACAAACCAAAGACCGCCTTTACCGCTGGGGTGTTGTCAATGATGTTGAATGTCGCAACTTCAGCGCAATGGAGACGAACGTCCACGCGATGGCGCAATGCGTGGTGGCGTAGTTTTTTTTCGCGTTGTGGCACATGCCTTCCCTGACGCTGGTGTGCGCCCTTATGTCAATCAAGGTCGTCGGCAACGAAAGAATTTTGCTTTGCTTGTAATCGCGCTCCAATGTCGCAACCGTTGCTCTTCGGAGGTGCAGCGGCCTTGCCAACGTACCCTAGCGAAAACTAAGACGTTTGAAATATACCACATTCTAATTTGAGTGTATTTGAAGTACAGTTCATAATTGTAAGTACACAATAAATAGACCGAAAATATACACTTCTTTTTTTTACTTAGTACTAAAATATATTTCTGAAAATCTTTTAAAAATAAATTTATTAAGCTACATTTGAAGCTCCCTTCATGCGTTCTGAAATATGCAAATACTAAATTAGTAGGCCGAAAATACCTTTCACATAGATTTTTTTTTAAATATGTATTTATTTCATGCAAAATATTCTCCGACCCTAATAAAAATGCAGCGATGAAAAATATGTGCAGAATACTCTTAAAACACCTGGAAATCGTAAATACTGTTGTGTTATGCTCTAAGTATATTTTGAGTGCAATACTTTGGTAGTCTGACTTAAACTACCCAAGTATTAAAAAGCTCGCCTATCAGAAGTTCACTTCAAGCAGATTTGGAGTACACTGAAGCGCCTAAATACAACATTTTATTAGTTTGTCAATTGAGTTGAGCAGCATCGCTTTGATAAATCAGCGCAGTTTATATTATTGTTTCCTTTTTTCTATCAAGAACAGACCTGATGAGTTTCTTGCGCACCAATCACAAACGGGGTTCGGGAACTACAACCACAACACTTGCTGATACTGGAAAGCTTCAGGAAGTGCTGTGAGCAGATATGTTTGGCGTGTAATTGTGTTAGCACAATGTTAGTTCACTGCATGCCTATACTCACCATTGTACGTGATGTGAGCAGTGACTTTAATATAGTGACGTAAATGACCATATTAAATATTCAACTAGTAAAGAAAAGCAAAATAACTATCTTAAAGTGAAGAAACTAGTTTCACTCGCTTCATCCTGGGTGGTACTACGCAGAGAAGCAATACATTTTTTTCTAGGAGCCGTTTTTAGGGATATTGTTTTAGCGACTGCGCCGAATTATTATTAGCTGTATTAATGCTCGTAGTTAGAGATATCGTGCACGAACTTCAAAACAGTGTCTCCCCTTTGACAGACTCCCGAAGAGAATATCGAATACTTGGAACGTTAATAAGTGCAGGGCTGGTCACCGGCCAAATGCTTACCTTCAATTTGTAGGCTATATAAGGCTCTGGAGCAGTCAACGAGACCGTCATTCAGGTGTTTAGTGCGTCATGGTGTTTGTGTTTGTTTGTAATGGTTATTAGTGGGATGTATTTAGTAGTGCCTTCAAACACCGCAAGGACACATTTACTAGCAAAATCCCCCCCAAATGTGTAGCTGGTGTAGCTGTGTAGCTATACGAATATTCATTTTGTATTCATTCTGTATTATTTTGTCTCTATTCGAAATACGTGCGAAACGTATCCAAAATGCATCATAAATATTAATCAGAAAAATATTTTAGATATACCAAAAATATAATTTCTTGCCCCTCAAAATGCCATTTGTGCACTAAAAAGTGCACAAATGGCATTTTGAGGGGCAAGAAATTATATTTTTGGTAAATCTAAAATTTTTTCTGATTAATATTTATGATATATTTTGGATACGTTTCGCACGTATTTCGAATGGGGACAAAGTAATACAGAATGAATACAAAATGAATATTCGTATTCAATATATTTCAAGTTCGTTTCGAGTACGGCCTCTTTTTGCTAGTGATGTTACCGCTTTTAAGGCGCCTGCGACTCGACCTGGTCACGTTTTTGGATGGTGAGCTGCCCCTATCTGGGGAGTGGGAATTCCTGCGGCGCTGGTCGTGCCGGTACCTGGCAGTGCTTAACGGCTAGGTGCACCTGACCTGCTTGTTCTCGGGCATGGTTTAATATGGGCACTTTCTGGTCTCGCCTCGCCGGCTGCGACGGCCCAAGCGATAATGTCGTCGTGTAACCTGTTTTGTGCAGAGCATGTATAAGATGTGACTTTGTAACATTGTAAGAACTCGCACTGATGGGAAAATATTTGTTTAGAGTGCGACCGCAATGAAAAGAAAAAATTAGTAAATTTCAAATGTCGCCGTGATGACAACATCACGTGTGTTGCCCTTTCAGTTACGAAGAGTCGAAAATTTCACCCGTATCATGCTGAAGTGAAATACTTGAATACATCCTTACCCAGAAATTGTGATTGGAGGAAGTTCCGTTTATTACCTCCGCTAAGGGAATATTCGTGGCTGGTATTTAGTCACAAGTGCTGTCAATGGACGCTCACAGTGTCTTCGCAACAAGTTCGGCCAATGACGTGCCCTTATTTGCGCCCTATTCTTACCAATTAATAACCAAACTCTTTACATATACGGCTCTGCTATATGCATGGTTGCACCGTAACCTCGCCCTTTTAAACTGCGTTCACTGATAACCTAACAGGGGCGTGGAAGCTGCGTGAGTGTTGGATCAAATCAGCCGGCTCGGCAAGAACGAACCTTCAATACAATGTCAGCTCAGTCAACGCCACATATCAAAGCCTACCCCAACGTGGAGTCATCCCACTCCGATGGGGCAAACAAAGCGATTGGGGCCAATCCCGACGCCGTCCTTCGTCGCACTGACTGAAAACGAGGCTCACGCAAATACAGCAGTCGCGCCCAACCTATGTCACCCTGTGATAACATCCGAAATGATCAACACGTGCTGTGATCAATCCAGGTGGTGATCCTGAAGCAGGAGTGCCGTCGTGTCGCTGCGGGCAGCCTCGATATGATACCGTGGTGATAGTAACAAAGAGGCACGAAGAGTGGAGTCGCCCTCGGCCACTGGGAGAAGCAAGCAAAGGCAAGGCGTCTCCTGTCTAGCCCTCTATACCTGAGGTAGGTGTTCATTTATAAGCTTTCGTGAGCTCGGGAGTCAGGCTAAATTCTGAGTAAACTTACCTCGCGGTAACTTTTGCGAAAAGAGTTTTTTCGCTAAATTTAGGGGGAAATTATGAATTTCTGAATAAATCAGCCACTCATTGTGGTGATAAAGGTAGCGGAGAAACATTTCCTGCTAAATTTAGTGTGCCGTAAAGGATGTCGACAATGAATCTCCGCCATCTAAAATGAGCCGCACACAATTAAAAAGCTGAAACTTTTACCGATTGTGCAATGAGGTGTGTTATGTTAGCCGATAAAATTATGAGGCATAGCTTCTTTCCTGCGAAAAACGAGACCAACAAACTTGCCAGGGTCAACGGTGGGCAGGTTCGCAGACGACCAAGTTAGCGGCTTTAAACGCATGGTGCGGTCTCCAGATAGGCGTAGCAAGAAGACAACAGATTGCGTCATACACACTCCGCGTAAAACAAACACCACGCAGCAAGTAGCAAGTTCCTTGTCTCACTGGTGATATGGCGGGTGAGCCCTGCGGTGCACTCACCCGTGTGGTGGAGGCGCTCTCCCTCGGGTCCGGCGTCCTGGTGACTCTCCATCTGAAGGATGAGCCGGAAGGGGTCGCTTCGCTCGGCGTCGCACACCAGGTACGTCACGAACGGGAACTGACCTGGACGGAACCACGAAGGAGGACCATCAGATGCCGTAGATTTAAAAGAGGGATCTACTCAAGCCTTGGAGAGCATCTGCAATTTAATGCGCTGCTCTGATTGGCTGCCCGGGCGCATTGCCGCCTGACGAGGAGGATTCAGCGAAGTTTGGAGGCGCTTTCGCCTCTTCGCTGCTTGTATCGCCAACGCGGCCCAGAGATTACAGGCACCTATCGAGCAGTCGAAAACACTTAGAATCTCGCTAAAGATAGCCACTTATTGCGACGCTCCGATCATTTATGCCCTCGGTATGTCAAACATTTCAGGCACAAAACAATGAACACCGGAGGCCTTGTAGTGCTCTGGAGGGGCAAAAGGCATCGCTAAAGGCCGCCACGGCAGCCTTGTAAGAAAAAAGCACAGTAAGATATGGTAAAACGTCCCGAATATTCCCCGATTGTACCTATAGGTGACCGGCGATTGGCAGTAGCCGCAATTCCAATTCGTAGCTAGCAGCCGACGAGCACCATGGTGGCTATGGACGCGTGTACCCGATCAATGCGAGCCACCTCCCTCTGCTTCTGGGTGACTTGCACATTTTTGAGCGATTGAAGTCACTTCTACGGATATGTTAAGTATCAATCGGTATGCAGAAGCATCGAGAACGACCACGAAAGCGCGGAGCGAGTGCGGCCGGCAACAGGCTCTACTCGCGCCGCGCTTTCCGGATCTTTCGCATGAAAACTCAAGCCAGGTTACCATTGTGCTTTTCTTTTGAGATAGAATTCTTTATTGGGCTTTGTTTATTTTTTCATTGTTACGTTAGATTACATCACCAACTGAAATAAGTGCGAGTGTATGCGCGGTACACTCTAAGAAAAGCCCGTTCGTCTACTTTCCCGCACAACACTCGGAGAGGCAATCACCGCAACTTACGGAGGCAGCTCAGCGAATGACGATGCCGAAACATATGTTTAGACCAAAAAACGCACTCTGAGTTATGACATTAAACAATGCAAGCGTGACGTTTTGCATTGCCTAATGTCGCAGCTCAGGCTGCGTTTTTTGGTCTAAACATATGTTTCGGCATCGTCATTCGCTGAGCTGTCTCCGTAAGTTGCGGTGATTGGCTCGCCAAGTGTTTTGCGGGAAAGAAGGCGCACAGGCTTTTTTTACAGTGATAGCTGAAATGTCCGATCGGAGCTTTGGCGCACTTTTCTCGAGCAATCAAAAGGTCACTTCCGTACAAAAGTTTCTTTCGACGGCATCGGATAACGCGAGAATCCTTGCTTTTAAACAGTCACGTGTCTTTTGTACTTCAACTAAGTCGTCCTCTGTGTGCCACGTCCCTCCCGTCATGCGTGTTTTTTTTTGTTTTTAATGTTTAGTAAGAAAGCATGCATAATCTTGCGCTGATTTTGATATGGGCTACGCAGGGTCGTACGACCGCTTTATCATCCGTCAAGATATACGCATGCCTGCTTGCTTTCGTTTGTTTATATTATAACAAGTTGAGGGCCAGATTTCTGTGGTCGATACCTGTTCGCCGAGTTTCAATTAGTGCTCTTAAGTTATTCCACATCGTGAAAAGCGACCAAGCGATACACCTTGAGAGCCCATACACAGGAATACATCCCAGAGCCACTGCTGCCGCTGAAACGGTCTGTAGACGAAACATCATCCGATGAACTGATTGCCTGCGATCCCGCGGGCAGTGTGACGTCTGAGAGATCGTATCCCGCGTTCTCGCAAATGCTTTGTACGACAAGCCGTGCTCACCCCTTCGCAGATTAATGGAGACCTTTTTCTGCGTGTCAAGAGTTTCTGCCATAAATCTTTATTTCGCGCGGCCCCAGGTCCGAAGAAAGAGAGAACACGTTGCGCTGACATGTAACAAAATGGGCCGCGTATGTACGGGCACCGACGCCTGACTGTCGCAGGTTACTGTGCTTCGTCACTCGCTGAAAGGGGTCCTGCAAGGACTTCTTTCCTGGTTTTTAATTTGCACCGAACCTGAGCGCACTGAACGTAGTAACTTAATAAAACTTTTCTTTTCTCGAATTTCGCTTTATTTTAAAAGTTATTGGCAAATCAAAATTACAAAAACAAGAAAAAAATAACCTCCTTTATGACGTTCTTGGTCGCTTGGGTGGCCGTGAACTAGAGGAGGGGTAGTGAGCTCAGCGAGCGCTCACGGCTGCCGCACTCCGTGTTGACAGCTCAAGAGGGTTCCACTAAAGCATGTTCTGAATAGGCTGTATCAAGCGGGCGGCCAAGGCGGCTCGCATTGCATTTGCTGCGTGATTAAACACTAATTCGGCATGACACTTCATTGGCCACAGACGACAGCAAACACGGGGTAAAGATCAGTTCAGAACGGGAGCCACTTGCGCTGCCATATACCGCAAAACAGCCGAACCGCAAGCCGAACCTGCCCGCCCAAGTACTTCGGAACCGGTCGGATCCTCGAGCCCGTATACGACCGCAGCGCCGCCGCGTACATCCGGGATTTTTCTACGTTAGCCGCTCGTCGGTGCCTGATCCCATTACCCCTTTCTAGTATGCGCCGCCTTTTCCACCGCTTGGTAGCGGGTCTGTCGACGGGTCATTTCTTGTTTCCGTAGTTTATAGACCTTTTGTCTTTCCTGTCGCTCTCAGTCACGTGGGTTCCGTATCTGGTATGCGGGACGAAAAAATAATAAAACATTTTCACGTGGAATGTGCGAGGAAATATATGTGAGGCAAAAGAAGAATATGTGACAATCACGCATTTTTCATAAACACCTTCCAACGGCGTGGAGAGATCAAAACGATGTTTTACCGCATACCGGACGTGACGAAATTCAAGATGGCTGCGCCCTTGTGCAAAAGGTGTATAAACTGTATTTTTTTCCGTTTCTAATCTCAAATACTGAACAAAAACTACTTTCATAAATAATTGAAACGGTTCGCGCCACTTATATTTTTTATTTCGACTAAAAGGTTTTAGCGACTCTGACCAATAGTAAGCCCAGGGCCAACGACCTCACATATCGCCCGCTTTCGGCACCACGGGTCGCCCCCGTCGGTGGAGGAGGTTCTCGCGTCGTCCGTTTAAAATATGACACACTGATACTTAGTTACTCTCTCGGTGCCAGCTGGCTTGCCCGAACCCCAAGAGATATGAAAACCGGAAAAAAGGTAGATGCTTAAAGATGATTGCAGGGCCCGTTTAACAGCGACAGCCCGTCACTGTTCCGTTCTTCGCTCCACGGGAACCAGAACATTTGATGCCCTTCACGGCTTGCGTTGGAAGAACGTACCGCGGAGCAGTGAACCATTTTTGCCGCGAATACAGCACGGCTACCACGCATTGAAGGGCTGTCAATGCAGCTGAACGAGCCACGATCGGCACCGGACAAACCGGAAGTGTGAAGTCACGTGACGCTTCGTTTCAGATGACGAAACTTCCGGCTCAAACGCTGGTAATCCTTTGAGGTTCTGCCACCAGTGAAACAACTGACTGTGTTTCTGCGTTTTTGCAACACCTAGACAATGTCTATAACCGGTCGTCTACATACAAACTATCTTGAAAAATAGCGGAATCTGTTTATCAACTAGGCCAACGCATCTTACGGGAAATGAAAAGGTGTTTCGTGAAACCGGCCTATACGAAACGCCTTTTCGTTTTTGGTAGGCCTTGCGCGGCCACACTAAGTATCATGCTACAATATTTTCCTATTCGTTTGCACGCAAGAAATACCTCATTATAGCGTCGTTCTTGATGCTGGCAAAACGCTCAATTAGGGTGAGTGACTACGCCGGCCACAGAACGCAAGAAGCGCAATGAGCGCACATTTGGGCCGCATAAATTTATGCTTACTCTGTTTCTCCCATACCGAAAGGGGAGTGCGGCTGGCTTAGTTTGACAGGTAGCGACATCTTACGCGGAATTTTCGCAACACTCAGATGTCTCTTGGCCGCAACCGATCTCGAGCTAGAGCGCCCGAGTGCTAAGCGGCGTTCGTGCCCAATCATTTGGCGGCATTACCTTCCCAAAATTGCCCTTTCCGACCACCAGCGGCGCTGACTAGCAGCCGATCGAGGTGCGGCCTCTTCACTGCCCTGCTGCTATTGAGTCCTGGCGTCCGCAGGGAGCATTTTAGCCGCCAACAAACATACCTCTCAAGCGCCGGATCGTTTTAAGTCAGCATAAAGACGCAGATTTGTCAAAATGAAATACGAGCCGATGTTCATTTATGTCACCGATTGCATGTCACTGACTAAAAAGAGTACAGCTACAAGATGGGAAAATATCAAATTTCGAAGAAAGTGTTAAGAAGACGAGCATCATTATCCAGACACAAGAGGAAGAGCTAGTCACTTTGGCAGACAGAAGCAGCCGCAACGAATTGATAATGTTTGGCTTTCCTTAGAACCCTAGTGAAAATAATGCAGATGTAAAAGAGCTTGCACGGCATGGGTGTGAATGTAAATACAATGAAACAAATTAATAAACTTGAAAACAAAAAAAAAAAAAAACGAACAAGCAGATCAATTATTATAAAGGTTTATAACTATAAGGATAAGTTCGAAGAATTTAGGAATGACCGAAAACTAAAGAAATCCAAAATATCAGTGTTTAACGATTATTCCACGGTCACCTTAAGAAAACGAAAGCAATTAAGAGAGAGCACAATAACGGCATAGCTATGGGCCGGACTGCTTGTGAGACTCGACCACGATAAGATATTGATTGATAGAGAATCATATTATTTCGATGACGAAGAGAATCGTTGGATAAAGCTCGCCTCAGGCTCAGCAAACTAAAGCACGTCCAAATGACAGTCGAATAACTCGAGCAGGGAATTCAAGCTGATTAACGTGAACGGACATAGTCTTGGAAATAAAGTTGGGGATCTAGAACACTCGCTCATTAAGGCCAAAGCCCTATATGTCTCATCATTTAGTCCTTGAGCGAAAACACGGCGGCGATACGAAAGTTACATCTGCGAAGTTTAATATTCCTCCGAACACACTT